CCCTAGGAAACAGTAAAATCCACATCGCTCTCCGATGCTTTCAGAACCGTGTATTTTGAGCATGGAAAGAAATGCTGAGTCTGATCTCACAGCTCATTGTGGGAGGCAACAGAGGTGACCCAGTGGGTGCAGTCACCACCCCCAAAGTGTCACAAAGTCCAATGTCACGAAGCGTTGCAGCATCCAACCAACTCGGAAATTGCTGGTGAACAGAAAGGAGGCTGCCCTGGCAGTTCAGCAACGTCAACACTGTAAAGTAGCCACACAGGACATTTGATCATTAAAATAATTCCAAACTGAGTGGGTTATGGTGGGAAGTTCAGTCCTAAGGCCTGTAGAATGGATCGATGTTTACCTTGACAAAGCCCTGTCCACTGCAGAGAGAATAATATATGTAAGCTGTGAGAAGACCTCTTCTCAGGACCTCCAAAGACAAACACCCCTGGCACTGGGACAAGACAGCCCAGCATCGCTCACTGGGACCTTTTACTCGCAGGTCCCTGTACACTGTGCACGTGAAACACACCTGCCCAGGTGACACAAGCACAAGTCTCCCTTTGACTTTTTATCCCAGAGATTTCCAGCTTTGCGTTCTCTCTCCCCCTCGATCTACCACCCAACCCATGGACTGCATCCCTTCACCATGCTCATGCAGTGATTCCATAAACATATAAAACAACATGCCTGACAAATTCTCCAGAACTTTCTCCAGATTTGGAACTTCTCAGCACTGCTACAGGAGCTTGTTGTTGGGGATGGTGGTGGCATTTAACTAATCAAATTACCACCTCAAGCTTCTCTTTGCTTATTAGTTTCCACAGAGTCAATGTTATCAGAGGTTGGGTCAAAAGTGGGGGCTGGGATATCGCTTAGCAAGTCACCCTTCTGTGACAAAATGCAAGAACGAGGCCTCCAGTTCCACGAATGGCCCGAGTGGTTTAGCAGAGATTTCAAGCGGATGCTCTCCAGAGTCCTGTCGAATTCCAAATCCTTTCATTTTAGGGGGTGGAGCAGCCCCAAAATGAAAAAATTATCCT